TGGGTATATGCAAAAGTGTGTGATGTCTCCTTTTGCATGTGTGACAACAAGTAGGTTTCTGACACTGATTCAACATATGATTACCAACTAAACAATTAAAACACATTTTTTTATTTGAAACAAATTCACGTCGTTTATCGTAATCAAGAGTTATAAATTTCTTACAATAACACAATTTGTGAGGTTCGTTACAATACTCACAATTTATGCTATAAGAATGATCTTTGCGAGTCGCCACCATGACTTTAGGGTTAAATTGATTAGTATTTGAAGTATATTGTTGACCTGGAGCTCTACTCTCTTTCTCCGAAACGAAATTTCGGTAACGAACGAATTTTAAACGAAATTTCGCCAGTGTCTCTACTCTATTTCATTTTCGAACAGGCACATTAACTTCGGAACCATAAACAGTTTTCGTGAACGAATGGAATGAGTCATGTTTGTGAGTTCTTTTTATCTCTACTTTTAAGAAAACGTTTTTTTACTTGGAAACAATATAGGTAGTTTACGGCAAATTTTTAGATGACATTGAAAGAACCTTCTTTGACAGTGTTAGCCAACTAATTTGTAGAGTCGATACAATGTACTGTATGTCAACCTCAATTTGTCGTTTAATACTTTGAAGTATCGAAATTACAAAAAATAATAAAAAAATGGTTTATTTGTCAATTTTACATGCTAAAAAAGTTTCTCGAGTTAAGCAGCTATTATTAAAAATACTCTTGCAAGTATTTAAGGCTTAATTAAACCAAAAATCTCAAAACGAAAATGAAAAGGTAACACTTTTCATTTCGTCGATTTGAGTTCAAAATTTCGAACAATTATCTGTCAAATTCAACTTTTCCTTCGAAAGTTTTGTGAATTAGAGTAGGCTTGGAGAATTTAATTGTCAAAATATTTCGGACGAACGAATTTTCGAAATGAAAAGGAAACAGAGTAGGGAACGTGCGAAATTTCGATCGAAATTTCGTTTTTCGTTGAAATAGAGTAGGCCTCCTGTTGTCCTTTTAGGTTCGATACATTCTAAAGCTCTAAACCGACTATGAAGAAAAGTTTTGAATTGCTCTAATGTAGGTAAATTATTGGAATCATCACTAGAAATTGTTAGTTCCCACTGTTTTCGGGTTTCTGGATCGAGCTTAAACGTAACAACATGGATTACTATAAGATCCCAAGTACTAACGTCAATCTTTAAGTTTTTCAAAGCATTCATACAGTCCGTTGTTGTATCCAAAATATCTTTCAAACCTGTAGCAGATTCTACGAATATGCGTTTTTGAGCAAAAAATCTCTTAAGAATACAGTTTACCAAATATTTTTTATTGTTATACCTCTTTTCCAATTGATACCAACATTGTTCGTAATTGTCTTCAGTTACAGAAATATGAAAAACGAATTGTTCAGCTTCGCCTGTTAGATGACCCTTCAAATAATGCATTCGCTGAACATTGTCGAGTGAACTATTTTTATGAACTAGGGATAGAAAAAGATCATGAAATGTAGTCCATTCTGAATATTTTCCTGAAAATGTCGGAATCGTCATTTTCGGCAATTTTATTGAAATACTGCTACTGTTGCAATTTGAACTGGTTGTTTCTAGGCTTTTAGAGTTATATGACGAAAAATTATTTAACATTAGTTTAAGCTGACATAGTCTAATTACATCTCTTCAGTCTTATCAAATGTTTCTAAAGTCGTGTAATCACTGTTCTGGAATGTATCCCAATCTAAATTTAAAACAATTTTTTGATGTGTTGACATAAAAATAGACCATTTCTGTTCTAACTGTTGTAGTCTAGTCTGAACATAAGGCTCGGGCGTCTTTGGGCGTTTTTTTATAATTTACCCATGCTTTTTCTATTCTATTCGACAAGTCTTTCTGCAAATTTATTTCTACTTGCATTTTGACGCACTAGTTATATGAACTTATTTATAAACTTAATATAAAAAACAACATTTAATGACAATTATGGAAATACTAAAAATACCAGCACTTCTTTGGATTATAATTGCTTGAACTCGTCGAACTGTGCAACTTGAACTAAGCTTGAACTATGCAGATCGTACTCGAACTAGATATAAGCGACGTACTCGAACTTGAAATATGCGACGTACTTGAACTTGAAATATGCGACGTTCTCGAACTATAACATGCGACGTACTCGAACTTGATCAGAATACTTGGTTTTTTTCATACCTGGACCTTGCCGAACTAATTTTCACCAATACAACTGTTTGTACTATAATGCAACTTTTGCATGACCTATGATTGTGTTTTGTCCATTTTACTGGCGACGAAGGACCATGTTTCGGATCCTTAGGGAAGAAATTAGCAATTGAATAAAAACATATGTCTTGAAATAAAATAATTGTATTTTTTTGAGTTTTTATCAACAGAAAACATGACACAATGAAAAAGAGTAGATAAAAATGACCATAAACACACTTATAGAACCATGGCCAGATGCTTTTAGTGAAGATACCTATCACTAATTTTACTAACTGCACATTTACAAATTGTTTCTCTAAATAAACTTTTTATATACTATAAAATGATTTTTAGTATTATTTTCTTAACAAGTGTGTTAAAAAACGTATGATGATACTTGTGTGTATTGATGATTACCTAACGGCTCTGGTCTCAATGGGAGCTCAGCGGTAATCACCAACAGTACACACTTTTACACTCTAAAGTACTATTTTATCTATAATAATTTTATTCTGATTCAATTAAATATGCTTGGCTAAACTTTTTATAAGCATAGGTACCTACTATATATAAAAGGAGCTCGATGGCGCAAGTGGTTAGTGCGTTCGGCTGCGATCGTTAAAATTAAGCAACTTTCGCAGTGGTCGGTCATTGGATGGGTGACCAAAAATTACTATCTCGAGCTCCTCCGTGCTTCAGAAGGCACGTTAAGCCGTTGGTCCCGGCTGCATCTGCAGTCGTTAGCACCCACCAATCCGCACTAGCCCGCGTGGTGGGTCAGGGCCCAATCTCCCCATTCCATCCATAGGGAAGGCCTGTGCCCCAGCAGTGGGGACATTAATAGGCTGATGATGATGATGATATATAAAACAGAAACAAAATACGACTGTATAGTGTGTATTATTAATTACCTATTTTACTTGAATGGACTGCTAGTATTAAAATCATTTTGGTCCGACTGTATAGGGTTGCTACATGCATACTAGTGGCGCCATCATTTAATGTCACGACTTTATAGACAAACTGTACGTGTCAGCACAACAATGCAATGCGAGCGAACGTCACAGTGTATTCGAACAGACAAGAACGATGTCGATGTTTGTAAATGTAGTGAACGATGTATCGACGATATATCGCTCATCAAAACATCGATGTTTATGACCGATACCTCGATGTTTTATTAACATCGAAGTATCGTTTGCATCCCAACTAGTAGTTATAAGTAGTTGGCTTGGCAACACTGATTCACACCGTAAACCCACTAGTTTTTGGCGGGATTTCATCGAGTGCGGTTGGCGTCTTATTTTAATTATTCTTAAATTCGTTCATAGTGGATATTGTGAAATAAAATTGGTGTGGTTTTGTGTAACAACTGTCTGCGTAACTGAAGAATTAGTGGAATCATTAAAATATACGCTGTACCGGTCAAGTGGACGTGAAAATTTTATTGTAGTGTTGACTACCTCACAGAAGCTTATCGAAAAAGCCAACTCGATACATTAAACATTTCGTGCCAAACACTCCAAGAAACATTAGAATGCGTCACACCGACATTCTAATGTAAAAATAAAAAGAAGATAAAAATTAAAGACTAGGCTGTATGGGCATTGTTCCCTTTGCCTTCCCTAAAACGGGAGAACTTCAACAAAAAAAAACCGTAAACCCACAGCTAGGGACACGATATCGAATAGAAAGTATCGATACTGTACTCATGAGTAGTATCGGTAAAAAAGTATCGTACTCGTAAAAGTATCGAAACAAAAGTATCGATACTTCAAAGTATCGAGTACATTTCATAGGGCCTTACCGCGTCGTCGGAATCAATTTTATTTAATTTTGAGAAGCTACCTTCGAAAGACTTTTATTGAGCGTTCGGTTATTTCATTGTTCGATTTTTAAATTTTATTGATATATGGATTTATTACTTAATTTAGTTAATAAAGTACTTTATTTAAAAATCTTTTTACTACCGTAAACTACCACAGGTTCCAAAATTGGGAGATCTTTCTGAGAAGAACCGGCGAAACAAACTCAAAATAAATAAATAAAACAACAGTCACAGATTGGAAAGAATTTGAATATGTCAGTTGCTGACTTTATAACAACGAAATAGGGTATTTGACAGTATTAAAAATAAAGTGCCAATTGTTAGCATCTGTCTTTAGGTTGAATATTGGCATGGGTTTTTACTATTTTTACAAAAAAATATTCATAATTTTACTAAAAACTAACGAAAAAGATATTAGTTTTCTTATCTATTGTCACGTGACCCAAAACGCTTGGGATTGGCGGAGCCTAAAATGACGTCACACGCAAGTAAACTTCCGGTTAAAGTGACATTACATTGTATCGTTTGACGTTTAAATAACAGTCGTGTGACGTCACACACTAGTGGGACGCCATATTGTCCAGAGAAACGTTTTCGCGGCAACTTGAAAATTGAGTTTTTGATTTGGTTTTTTACTGAAATACACGACAGAATGATGAATATCCACATTTTACGTACTACATAAACATTAGTCAACAACGTGAGATCGTTGCCTAAAACTTGTCAAATACCCTATGGAACGTTTTAGGAGGTTTGCTATGATTTAACAAGATGGCGTTGCCATCAATATGAGGCGCTTATCCAAATTTTTAAAGGTATCGATACTTGAAAAAAGTACTCATTTAGTAAAAGTATCGAATACGAAGTATCGAGTACAAAAGTATCGGTATCGAAACTAAAAGTACTCGATACCACAAAGTATCGATACTTTTTTCGTGTCCCTACCCACAGCGTAAACCTTTAAAAAAATTGGTCGCGTCTGTTGCATTTTTAGCAAGTAAAAATAAATTATTGATATTCATTAGTTTCTCTCGCACTAAACTAAAGAATAATGGTGAAGTTAACAACTGAATTAATTCAAAATTCCATGCAGTACATGAATCCCTGCAGGGACCGTGAATTGGATTTAAGAGGTTATTTTTTAGATCATATTTATTTATGATGTTATTCATTCATATCGGCAAACAATTCATTGGTATCCTCCCAAAAGAACATAGAGTGAACATTTGGAAGGAATACTGAACCTTCTTTTTATTTGTATGAAAATCTAAATGTATGTATTGTGCGAAATTTTTCAGGTTATAAAATACCACAAATTGAAAATATGGGTGCCACACTGGATCAATTTGATACAATAGATTTCTCTGACAATGATATAAGAAAATTAGATGGATTTCCCCTCCTGAAAAGACTAAAATGTTTATTACTAAACAACAATAGGATTGTGTAAGTAGATATTTTTTAACATACCAATTAAAAGAATGTTCTCAGCTTAACCCTTAGATTAAAACAAAAAGAGAAGATACGGCACTCACGGCTAAAAAGTGATCCTCTTAAATTGTGGTGCATGACCTTAATTCGCTTTAGTCACAATAGGACATTCAAACACTAAGTTTGTGTTTGTTTGTAAAACTTACTTTAATTACCATATAATTTTATGAAAGGCTTTATATCTGGAAAAACAAATTTATTTTACTCAGTCAAGCAAAAAGCTACTTTCAGTTTGACTCTTGTTATTGATACTTGGTTAAATAAATTTCATCTAATGTTTTTTTGAACAAAGCAGTCAATTAAATCAAATTATTACAGCTATAGAGGTAATAAAATCAAGATATAGGCCTTTATTGACTTGACATTATGTATGTTCCAACTTACTTTAATTTGTATTAAAATAAAAAATACCTTAGTTGCAGAATAGTTAAAGTTTCTTGCAGTTCCGAATTCGTCACTTGACTGTGGTGTTGTTGAGAACATATGTTTTACATTGGTGGATGTGAGTTCGTCCTTCTTTTATTGTGGTTCTTGAGTTAGCCATAAAACAATGCCTGCGATAAATAAAAATAGTTTTAACAGGTTAATGCACAAACTTTATTTATTTATTGATATTTCGCAGTCTTTTCAAGTCTCATGGTGATGATCATCATTATTCTGATGATGCGAAACATCAATAAGTAAATAAAGTTTGTGCATTAGCCCATTAAAACTCGTTTTATTTAATGAGTGATGTACTTGAAAACCTAAGAAACAAAAATGCCTTCAATGTTCTTTATAAAAGCATTGAAGTCATTTTTTTATTATAAAGAACAGAAATAGTTCAAAATCAAAAAACAAATACCTCTGCAACATTTTCCATTCGTAAAACATTAAGTTCTCGAAAATCACGGTTTGTCGTGAATGTTATTTACGTAATCGCCATTTTGTTATCAAGAAAAGGGCAACAAAACAACTCTGCTGTACGGACTCTGAAGCGGATTTGCCATTTTGCTCGTGCTACATTGAAGCAAACAGTTCTGTCTTGCTCTCTCCATTGAATGTTTACATACAGACATGTGCATGCGAGAGTTGCATAGGTAATTGAGTTGGATCATATTTTATTTGATGTTATATCTTATCGTATCTTCCCTTTTGTTTTAATCTAAGGTTTAACCTGTATGTTTGTATTTATGTGCTCATAATAATAATAATAAATAGAGCCTTTTATTGTATGTGTCTGCGATTATCTCAAAAACTACTGATTCGATTTGGATGGGGTTGTCAGTGTATAAATGCGTATTTATCATGTAAGGTTTTAGTATATAATATACTAGCAGTGCCCATAGTTTCACACGTGTAGATTTATAGGAAGGTTGCGCCTCAGCGCGATCTTTCTATCAACCTACATGTGTAAAGATTTTCTACCAGTAGCATATTCAGTAGCATATTACACGAAAACTGGAAAAATAAAATAATTTTTAATAATATTTTACTGACTTAAAACATACTGAAAATTAAAAAATAAAATTTACTGACTGATATATTTGAAGTTGATACCAAGCCATGTGCTTAGCAGGAAGATCATGATAGTGGTATCTACTTCAAATATACCAGTAGGTAAATCTGTTTTCATTTTCAGCATTTTTGAAGGCCATTCTACTTTTTTATAAATTTGGTTTTAATGATGGTGGATGATAGAGGTAATATATATTCTGTTTATTATTTTACAGGAGACTCGGTGAAAATCTGGAACAGTATTTACCAAACTTGGAAACATTGGTACTTACCAATAACAATATCACAGAACTTGGAGATTTAGATCCATTAGCAACTATTCCTAAATTACGAAGTTTATCTCTTATGCATAATCCAGTGGCAAATAAACAACATTATAGGTATTTTTGAATAGTTAAATACAGCTGCAAACTTCTTGAGCAAAACCATAGACAAACATGCGAGGTAGACATTTTTGTATGTAAAATTGCTTCTGCACAACCTTCCTTGTCTATGCTTGATGCTCAAGAATATTGCCAGGGTGTATACATAACATAGTTCCATGTCATTAGCTTCCTAGTAGCGATGAGAAAACTGGCTTATATTTACTCAACATTTAAACATTGTGCTTTTTTTATAAGCATGCTTATAAAAAAGCTTTTCGTGTAAACTCTTTTTTAGTATGCGTAGTTTTTAATTTGTGTGTGGAAAGCGTTTGAATATATAATCCTGATGTTATGTTGTCAACGATAAACGTAATATGTTCAAAGCTTTTAAACAATCTGGCACCAGTGGTGCTTAATTTACTATTGGCTTATGCTTATAAACGAAATGAATACCAAGGAATACTTTTTTGTCATCAAGCAGCATAGGTATCCTTTAATACCAAACTCAAAGTCAAAACATGAAGGCATGACAGTCAAAGCATGCTTTGTTAACTTGATTTTGTACAGACAAATATATGGCGAGGGGGACAAAAAGCGTGCTATTTATCAATTTATAAGCATGCTGTTGTGATTTTGTTAAAAAGCAGACTTTATGAGTTGCTTATCGTTTAAATGCTCACTTCTACTCCCTAGTAGGATCAGTATCTTAATAATATAGAACTATCACCATTTTAGTGGATTTAATTGTTTTATTTTTGTAGTCATGCAAACTAAAGACTAACATTTTCTGAATTTATTATAATATATAGTCAGCCAGAGTTAAACCTTTTCCAATGATGGTACCCAGATGATGGATGAGATTATGACTTTTATGTGATTAAAAATACTGTATTTCATCTTATTTACAGAGCTTATGTAGCTTTCAAATTACCTGAACTAAGATTATTAGACTTTAGAAAAATAAAACAAAAGGAAAGAGATGAAGCAGAAACATTCTTCAAAAGCAAGAAAGGGAAAGAAGTCCATAAAGAGATTTCTAGAAAAGCTAAAACATTTGTACCGGGCGGTAATTTGCCTGATCCCAAAATTACAAGTATGTACTTTAAATTTCCCATTGAAATTGATGTTTCTCTTTTGTGTACAATAGAGGACAGGGTAAAGTAAACAATATTTTATTTGGTCCATCAGTTAGATCATCAAAAATAATGGACACTTATTATTTTCTTTTGTCAATTGACCAAAAAATTCAAAGATAAAGCACATCAAAGTTTGGTAGTGGGGGCTCGTGACGTCACTTCTAAGTAAAAATTGTACCAAGAAGCGACATCATGTAATATTTCAATATATCTCAAGTAAATAAAGACAAAATAAATGTTCATATTTTGTTGATGAAAACTACTACAAAGCCCTTTGACATAAAAGTAATAAATAATACTATTTGACTTACCAAAAGATTGACTTTAAATACAAAACAATAATATAGTGTCATATAGGGGAGAGGGAGACACATTAGCACATTTTTCATATTTGGACTCATAAAAAATCAACTGTAAAGAGAAATTGAAAAAACAAAGTTTTCTTAGCTTACTTACTCCTTTGTTAATATAAAAATGATGAAATGTTTGAATTTGCTGAATATGTTAAAGAGAAATAATTTGTTTTTTAATTTGTTCAAATCTGCCTCCCCATGGGGGCACATTTGAATCGATATAGGGCAGTTTTGAACAATGGGTTAAAAACCAGAAAAAAGATAGGATAGAGTAATAATGATTTGTTTTTATAATGATATTTATTGTTATTAAAAAATAAACTTATACAAAACTTCTAAAGTTACATCTTGCATTCCTGTAACAAAAATAAAAATAATACTTAGACTTGTGTTGTTAACAAAAGTAATCATATTGCACAAGAGTTTTAGTTTATTGTTATTATAATTATCTTATACTGCCTCAGACGCAAAATTAAACATAAAATAAACTTAATATCATACTTCAAAACCACAAAAAAAGTTGTTCTAAAAATAGTTCACTTCTTGGAGCTATGTTTTCTTGATATATTTTAACTTGATAGAAGAGTGTACTCAGCGTCAGTCCATATGCATCTGCAACTCTTCTAAGTTTTATAGTTCCGTTGATGACGCATAAAACAGCATTTTGGACATCATCATCATTAATTGTACTGAATTTTTGTATGTTCTAAACAATCTATTAATAATGAATTACAGTTAGTGATGCATTTAATTACAATTAAGTATTACATTTAGAATGCATGTATTAGTAAACATTTGAAGTTTGCATTTGAACGTCCCATTCAAATCTGCCCCGTTTGTTTTGATCAAATCTGCCCCATGGGCACTTGGAAGATAAAATATTACAAAAAAATATGTGAAATAACTGGCTAGCAAAAACTACAAGCTGGATTGAAAACTAATAAGTACTGCACAATTATGTGAAAGGATTAGTTAAAAAAAGTTTCTCACTCATGTGATAGTAAATCCCTTACAACATTTGCTATTTATTTTTTACTTTACCGGTACAAATACGTCAACAGGTTATAAATCTTCTTGAAAACGATACGCGCGCGCTTTGTTACTTGACGTTTGTCATAGGCAGTGCTGCCAATATTAAAATGTAGTTACGGCATAAATTATCATAGTTACATTCAGAAATCAACATGTTCAAATCTGCCCCTATGCTAAGGTGCCTCATTCTCCCCTAATATGCTGATAAGTCCCTTCCTCCATAAGATTATCAGCTAAAAGATGCCCGGAATCGATGGTCTTTCAATAATAAAATTTGAATTAATTATAATTTCCTTTCATGTAATTAAATAACTATCACAAACTTCCTCATTACAGGCCTTACTCCACAAGAGATCCACAAGATCAGAGAGGCAATCAAAAATGCTTCTTCACTACAAGAGGTGGAAAGGTTGACAAGAATGTTGCAGTCAGGCCAAATACCTGGTCAAAAACCATTGCAACCTCAAACACAAAACAATGGCCAACGTAAGAATTTTCAAATTTACTTTTACTTTTGGATTACAAAAAATAATGTTTATTTATGACTAGAGATTTGACAGGAAAGTAGGTAGAACAGTTTATATGGGCAAAAGAAATTGTTGTTTTAACTATCTTCCTAGCAATTTTTCTCGCCAATTAAATCTTCCCTGGACTATGACAAACATTTCAAAACCACAATTGATTTATATATATATATATATAGGTTTCATTTAGTTCAGATACAGCCTATTCTCAAAATGTGTATGATGTGTGCAGTCTTCAAAGGGTATGTTGTTTACCTTCTTTATTACAATTGCAACAGTGAGTAAATAAATAAAACTAACTGCAGACACACTACCCACACCCTGTTAGAAAAATATACAAGAGCCCAATTATACCCATATATTTTATACCTAAATATGCCAAATTTCATTTAATCTTTTGAGCTGTTTCATTGTAAAGAAAATAAAAGAATGAAAATGACAAATTGAAAATACAGTATAATTGTTACTCTGCCTGTATTGATCAACTGTTCAATATCAAAAAGGCGGACAGAATTTCGGCTAAGACAATACTGAGGCACCGCAATGGCGGCGGTTATGTATGAGTGAGTGAATGTAGGGTTGCTAGGTTAGCCAAAATATTTTAACTGTTCAAAATTTTACCCCGACTGCGGTGGATGTTTTTCGAGCGTATGTACCTATGCATGTATGTATGTACAAAAATTATGCGACAAAAAGAAACTTTTAGAAAAAAAATTGCTTATATAACTCATGTAATTAAAAAAAATTGAAACAAATATGTCGAAATAAAAAAATGTATAGGACAATGGGCAAAACGCACCCAGCTCAGCCAACAATGTAATTAGTATGAATCGATAGATCTATGAAAAACTAGCCTTTTTTATTATGACAAGACTGAAAATAAATATCCTGGGAGTCAAAAGATATGACACCGTAAAAAATGTCCTGGTACTCAATAGATATGACACATGGGCATATTTAAGTAGCTGAATAAATTCATTTTATAGTACCTTCATTTTATATTATTAGTAATCATAATAATATTCCATATCGTACTATACAACCAGATATACGACAAAGCCTGCCGACCATCCTGCGCTTGCTCTTACTGAGACATTTCAAAACGGTTTACGGATGATGAAGGACTTGCAGTTGCAAATAATCGACTTGTCTCACTTCGTTGTGATTGTGTGATTGTGCGATATTGGAACATGATTATTGGTTTTGTCAATTAGTATGGATGAACTGGAGTCATGTGTTCTCCGAAGCGTGGACAAGTTTGTGTAATCTGTAGTCGCTCCGTTTTACATAGAAGACAATTTACTATAACGAACAGAATGTTTAAAAAAAAACCTAACCCAAGCGGGGATTTTTGGATATACTCTAGCGCAGCAGAATAACATATGGGGGCACCCTTGCACCTTGTGAAGTACTCCCATAATTCCTGAGCACCCTATGTAGGGTCGAACTAACTAACTAAATTAATTCCCTTGTTTCATTAATGTTCATTCGTTATAGTACTTGTACATATTTAACTTAAAATAACTAAAGACCCCCGGGATGGAATTTGATGCGCTATGGCACAGATGATCTCGACTATAATACCTTTCAAACAAATGTAGTTTAAGCCGTGGCGGACTTGGGTACATACATTTTTGCCCCATGTCCTTTCAAATATCATTTGCTTTAGGGAATCTGATAAAAAAGAATAACAAATAATAGATTGAAGCTAATGTCAACCCAATTTCCCATATTTAAGGTAATATGGTTACGTGAACATTGGCAACACTGGACTTCAGATTAATTATTTTGTCCTTAAAATGAAATGAAATTTGATTTCGATTACTAAAAACTAGAAAAAAGTGATTAAATTATTCATTGACCTATGAAACGTGATTCCTGGTTTTTTTTTTCGGTCACTACGGATTTTACACCATTTTACCACGCCAGACATTTTGTTTAACTTATTTTTATCTCCACGTAACGTGTCGGCTGCTTTGACGTTTGCACTCGTAATGGCTGACAATGTGTGAATGTGTGTGTGCCGGCTTGTACGTATAGCGACATGGCCGACTCTGAGCGACACAGTTTGTTGTTTACAGGGACTCTGTCCGCCTTTTTTTATATGTCCATGTTCAATATTACTTAACTTACAAAGTATGCTTTTAAGAACAAAGGAGATATAATGACTTTGATTTTACTGTCATTTAAAAACGCCAACAATTCCAATTCTTGCTTACCTGATAATTTGAAGGTAAAAACTATGAATAATAAACATGTTCTATTTTCTGTTTCAGAAGGGGAAGAAGAAGAAATGGATACAGACCAGATAAATGGCCAGTGATGAGTTTGAGTTGAGAATGGAATACCTGCTACATTATTATTTTAAGGGTTTGTTTATGTTAAGGTTTCAAGCTATAGAAACAACATTCAATAACAGTTTACTCAAAGTTAATACTACCTTATTTAATTCCTTTATTCCTTCTGATCATTCATAGTGGACATGGAAAGCAAGCAGGCATAGTTATCTTTATTATCCCCATGCTAGCGTAACTATGCTAATGAAATTGTCATTGCAACACAATATTGGTCAAAATCCATGGTGTTTTAACAATTAGGTAATTCAGCGTCCATACATAGTTAGCCTAAGAACCAACAATCATGAAATATTATTTTCTAGGTTCAAAATCGTAACTGTAAAAACAAAAAATATTGACGGACACTTCTGAGAACTTAAATTATTAGGAAAACTTAAAATTTTTTGAGGTTATAATTAATATGCAATGAAACATAGGTCAACCTATGAATTTAGTATAATCTCAGTATGAAGTGAATTAATATTACAACTAATTCATTTTATTCGGTGTGATTTTAAAGAATATCTATTAGGAAAAAATTGGTTAGGTAGGAATCATGAATAAAATAAAAACTGTAGTTTTGCTTCTTATTTATTGACTATTTTTCACATAATTGTTTATTGTATTTATTGGTATATCACATGTAGGTATATTGTGTAAATATGCAGCGTGAATGTGTATCAGGTGTTCTTGAATAATTTGGCAGTATGATCCTCTCAGGATGTTGTGGCACAGGTTCACTAGCACTTGGTAATAAGGGCTCTGCTCTTTGGGCATCATCGGGCAACATCGAGGGCATATTAGATAGCCGAAATAGTTAAATTAAAGGAAAAACAATCGCAAATAAACGCACACAACAGGTAATCCAAAACGAGAACGCACTTTCCGGTATATTAAACTACTCTTTGAAATGCACGAATGCCACAGATTACTACTAATGCAAACTGCATGCACCACAACCACAGAGTAACGAGTTTTATGCCGGCCCTTCACTTGACAACAGTTTGTCCTTGTCATGCTTAATAATTAATGAAAAAGACAGACAGATGTCATGATTTAAAATAGCAAATACGAATAGCCAAGTGAAGTGCCGGCATTAGGAAGAGTGTTTTGTTTGTAGCGCTGCCATAGATTATACACATAAAATGGTATTTATTGTCTCAGATTATTTTTTAACTTTTTAATTTAGCTTACTTAACTGGAAGTGTCCGTCACAAACTAAATACTGATAATTATCGCAAAAAATATACTAACAATAATCATAAATGCCAAATCGGTGTTGGTTCTTAGGCCAATTTTAACATTGTCCTTTCATCATGTTGTTTTGCTGTGGTCAAAATAGGGATTGCCATTACTTTTGTAACATTTCGTGTTACTTTTTGCCATTAATGTATCAAATTTTTCCTTTAGTCCCACTAGTTCTGTTGATCGAATTAATGGGAATTTTATCTCACTAGTTCGTGTCCGTGATGCTAGCGTACCCACGATCAATATACGGTTTTTCGTTATGCCATTAAATAGTGCCAAATTAGTGTAAAAATTAAAAAAAAATAGTGCCTCTTTAATTTAAGAAATAAAGACCATTTTTACTGTGTACGCTACCATGACGTCAAGCTAGCGTACCCATGGCCGACCCCAAGAACAGCATATATTTAAGCAACGAAATTGACACACAAAAATAGTTCGCAAATAGTGCCCTGGATTTACAAAATTTCATAATCAATACTCTTAAAGTACCAAAGATATTGAACTAAACATTCTTAGCTGGCGTCAACCTGGCGTAGGCGTACCCATAAAAGTTCTCATAGAAAATGAACTTTTATCGTTATCAATTCTATATGTATAAATAGTGTGTCAAATAGTGCCTCTAACAGTAAAAGTATTTTATGTGAATCCGCATCACAACAATATCACTTCTGAGAACTTAAATTATTAGGAAAACTTAAAATTTTTTGAGGTTATAATTAATATGCAATGAAACATAGGTCCACCTATGAATTTAGTATAATCTCAGTAGTGAATTAATATTACAACTAATTCATTTTTTTCGGTGTGATTTTAAAGAATAACTATTAGGAAAAAATTGGTTAGGTAGGAATCATGAATAAAATAAAAACTGTAGTTTTGCTTCTTATTTATTGACTATTTTTCACATAATTGTATCATATTGTTTATTGTATTTATTGGTATATCACATGTAGGTATATTGTGTAAATATGCAGCGTGAATGTGTATCAGGTGTTCTTGAATAATTTGGCAGTATGATCCTCTCAGGATGTTGTGGCACAGGTTCACTAGCACTTGGTAATAAGGGCTCTGCTCTTTGGGCATCATCGGGCAACATCGAGGGCATATTAGATAGCCGAAATAGTTAAATTAAAGGAAAAACAATCGCAAATAAACGCACACAACAGGTAATCCAAAACGAGAACGCACTTTCCGGTATATTAAACTACTCTTTGAAATGCACGAATGCCACAGATTACTACTAATGCAAACTGCATGCACCACAACCACAGAGTAACGAGTTTTATGCCGGCCCTCCACTTGACAACAGTTTGTCCTTGTCATGCTTAATAAGGAATGAAAAAGACAGACTGATGTCATGATTTAAAATAGCAAATACGAATAGCCAAGTGAAGTGCCGGCATTAGGAAGAGTGTTTTGTTTGCAGCGCTGCCATAGATTATACACATAAAATGGTATTTATTGTCTCAGATTATTTTTTAACTTTTTAATTTAGCTTACTTAACTGGAAGTGTCCGTCACAAACTAAATACTGATAATTATCGCAAAAAATATACTAACAATAATCATAAATGCCAAATCGGTGTTGGTTCTTAGGCCAATTTTAACATTGTCCTTTCATCATGTTGTTTTGCTGTGGTCAAAATAGGGATTGCCATTACTTTTGTAACATTTCGTGTTACTTTTTGCCATTAATGTATCAAATTTTTCCTTTAGTCCCACTAGTTCTGTTGATCGAATTAATGGGAATTTTATCTCACTAGTTCGTGTCCGTGATGCTAGCGTACCCACGATCAATATACGGTTTTTCGTTATGCCATTAAATAGTGCCAAATTAGTGTAAAAATAAAAAAAAAATAGTGCCTCTTTAATTTAAGAAATAAAGACCATTTTTACTGTGTACGCTACCATGACGTCAAGCTAGCGTACCCATGGCCGACCCCAAGAACAGCATATATTTAAGCAACGAAATTGACACACAAAAATAGTTCGCAAATAGTGCCCTGGATTTACAAAATTTCATAATCAATACTCTTAAAGTACCAAAGATATTGAACTAAACATTCTTAGCTGGCGTCAACCTGGCGTACCCATAATAGTTCTCATAGAAAATGAACTTTTATCGTTATCAATTCTATATGTATAAATAGTGTAAAGTATTTTATGTGAATTCACAGTAAAACAATATAAAAAAAGCAATTAAATTATTTTTATATATAAAGTACAGTCATGTACAGAAGTGATAATATTTTCGTAGTATAGTAGGTAAGTAAGGTACTTAGTAGGTAGGTTGAAATTCTTATATGAATTTATGATTGGTGAATTCGAATTGAAATAAAATATCTTTTTATAAAAAGTACCTATTTATTTTAGTATAAATACATATATAGATAATTTCTTAGTGCATAAATTAATTTTGTGTGCAACTGTACTACAATACATTTGTTCCTAATATTTAAGATTCTTTTTATGTATTGTTGTGATGCGGATTCACATAAAATACTTTTACTGTTAGAGGCACTATTTGACACACTATTTATACATATAGAATTGATAACGATAAAAGTTCATTTTCTATGAGAACTTTTATGGGTACGCCTACGCCAGGTTGACGCCAGCTAAGAATGTTTAATTCAATATCTTTGGTACTTTAAGAGTATTGATTATGAAATTTTGTAAATCCAGGGCACTATTTGCGAACTATTTTTGTGTGTCAATTTCGTTGCTTAAATATATGCTGTTCTTGGGGTCGGCCATGGGTACGCTAGCTTGACGTGCTAGCTTGACGTCATGGTAGCGTACACAGTAAAAATGGTCTTTATTTCTTAAATTAAAGAGGCACTATTTTTTTTATTTTTACTCTAATTTGGCACTATTTAATGGCATAACGAAAACCCGTATATTGATCGTGGGTACGCTAGCATCACGGACACACTAGTTCTGTGAATATCTTGGCTAGTTTGTTTGACCGAACTAATAGGATATTTTGTGGCATTAGTTCTGTATGTAACTTTGCTAGTTGAAGACCTGCGCTGCGTTAAGCGGGAGCACGTAGCGGACGTCTGTTCCATGCTCCCGCTTAACGCAGCGCACGCTCTAAAATAGTGTTGTGTTTAATACTTTAAATACAGATGAAATTAATGCCTAATATTTTTTTTTCCTCTTTATTTGTGGCTACTAATGTGATGTAAATACCCAAATAATAATGAATCCAACCGACCCACCTTTTCATCCTGAACTTGAATTTGTTTCAGTGTGAATGTCGGGACATAAATTTCCCAATCTTAACGTTGGTATAAATTTTCATGTTAGAGTGGGTAAGCCGCTTTACATATTTCAGTTTCGTTAAACTTGCTCATTTTTACATCAGCTTTCCTAACCAATGTATTGGTGGGTAACCAATACAATTTTAATAATCACAATTCATACCACTTTTAGGATACTAAAAACTTACCATTCATGATTTAACCAACACTATGTAGTGGTCAGTAGAAGTCAGTACTTTGACTACAGTATAAAAACTTGAAATCTTTATTTGTTGAAGGAATATCCATATGTCAACGAACAACTGAGAATTCTAGCTCTGTTAACAGAACTAGTGGGATAAAAATTCCCATTAGTTCAGTGTTGATTTTGGGTAGACTGCTCTAATGTTTTGTCTAATCTAGCTTGAAATGAAGAATCTAACCGCCTAATTCCAAAACGCGGACCAAAGTTGATCTTGGTTTAAACCTAATGTTGTCTCCGTCTTCTTTTTAGCAAACAAAAGCGATTCATTAGTTTATGTCCATGTTTAACTTTAGTCTACGTTTTGTAATAATGTGGTAAATATTTAGCTGTTAAGATCAGATTTACGCACTACTGTTCAGTTTATTATGCAACAGAATAAGATACTACACCATCTGGACAGATTTGAGGAAAGAACAGATTACTACAATCAGGCGATATAATATATACTTCAAAGAACAGATATTACCTATGATCCTCCTGTGTTGTAAATTCACAATAAAACAATTTCAAATAATCATTATTTTATTTAACTATGTCCATTATAAATCATCAGGTTTTTGTCATTAAAATTTATTTAAAAATTCCTTAGCCTTATTTAGCAATTGTTCATCATCGCCTGCGTCCAGAAAATTGCTATAAACTACTGGCAAAATAATCATTCTTCCCATAATTTCCTTTACAGATGGCCTCTTGTCGGGTAGTATTGACAACATTGAGTCTACTAAATCCTGCATTCCTCTATTATAAATGCTTAAATCAATTGGGTGAACACTTCCATTTGTAATAGCCTTCACCAGACCAACTAAAGACTGTAATACAATGCAATGTTTAATTCCATTAATTTAGTTTTAACAAGGATACTGTACTTTAGCACATAACGATACATGACACCTTTCCGACGCGAGCCCTTCACAGAATTACTGTTTCCTTCAACAAAATGACATTCTTTGTTTTTTCCGTAGTAATATTTTTGTTTTCTCAATTTTCATCAACTCCAAAGGTAGGAAGTGAAATAGGCATTCCGAAAAGAGCACATTATATATAGGGAAAAAGAAGTCATTAATGGTTTTCTAATAAAAAAGATTAAATAAATTGTCGGCGTTCTACTAAATCCTGCAATAGTGGAAATATCCCAGTAGCGCCATTGTAGTAGTACCATGATGGGACTACTTGCTATTTTTTCCCCAGAGGTTCAGAAACAATTTGGCCTACATTGTCAACCCGGCTTTGTTTATTTTTTGAAAATGTTAAAAGGGTTTATTTCTTCAGGTAGAAGGTAGTTACAGATTATGAAGGTACGTACTACCTACAATTTATTAACACAATTTTTGATCGTTTGTGTTCTGTTGACAATTATTTGGTAGTTATATACAAACTTCGTGTGAAAGTTCGGTTAAATTGAATGTTTTAATGAAACTTCGTGGGATTGTTGGGTTACGTATATCGAGTATCTCTGATTTTTTTCGGATTTATTAACATTTTTTTTTGTTATATTTTAAGTCCTTTCCTCCTTTTGGGTACTAACTACACAGTCAGGTCATAAGTATTGTCACACAGTAAAAACTTTTCTTTTAGAATGCTGGCCACAAAAAATTAAATATATAAATTAAATAAATATAAATAAATATTTCCAACACTCACACCAATTAGCCTAGCCCCAAAGTAAGCACTATAAGGCTTGTATTATGGGATACTAGGGTAACGGATAGAATACATATACTGTACATATATAAGTATATTTATATAGAAATACATATTAAACATCCATGACTGGAGTACAAATGCTCGTGTTCATCATACAAACATCTGCCCCCACCGGGATTCGAACCCGGGACCTCTCGAGTCGGCGACACCATGAAACCCGGCGTACAAACCACTCGGCCACGGAGGTCGTCTAAAAGAAAAAGTTTATTGAAATAAAAATGTATACTTTTTAGAATTTTACTCATTTTTAAATATGGAGTGGACGCTTAAAGAAGACCGTGTTGCAGTTATTGCATTGCATCGTTGCGGTTACGCGCCAATTCAAATTTTTGACATACTGAAAAATTTTAATATAACCAAAAGATTCGTTTATCGTACCATCAAACGATACAATGAAGACTAGTGTAGATGACAGGTCAAGAAGTGGTCGCCCTCGGTCTGTTAGGACTCCAGCAGTGATAAAAGCTGTGAAGGCGCGAATTCAAAGAAATAGGCAGAAACTATTGGCCCTTCATATGGGGTTAAGCAGAACCACGGTGAAAAGGGTGTTAAATGAAGACTTAGGGCTTCGGGCATATCGAAGAAAAACAGGACATCGTTTGAATGCTCGTCTAATGGACCTGAGACACAAGAGATGCCGCGCTTTGTTGAATCGGTACGCGGGAAAAAAATATCGGGAAATTCTTTTTTCGGATGAAAACATTTTTACCGTAGAAGAGAGCTACAACAAACAAAATGTTAAGGTGTACGCACACAGTAGTGAAAAAGCGAGCAACCGTATTCCGCGTGTCCAACGTGGTCATTTTCCATCCTCACTCATGGTATGGTTGGGAGTTTCTTAATGGGGCTTAACAGAGATAAATTTTTGTGAGAAAGGTGTAAAAACGAATGCAGTTGTGTATCAAAATACAGTCCTGACGAACCCTGTGGAACCTGTTTCTCATACCATGTTCAATAACTGACACTGGGTATTTCAACAAGATACGGCGCCAGCTCATAGAGCGCAGAGCACACAAGTCTTTCTGGCGGCGCGTGAAATCGACTTCATCCGGCACGAAGACTGGCCCTCCTCCAGTCCAGATTTGAGTCCGTTAGATCACAAGATATGGCAACACTTGGAGGAAAAGGCGTGCTCAAAGCCTCGTCCCAATTTGGAGTCACTCAAGACATCCTTGATTAAGGCAGCCGCCGATATTGACATGGACCTCGTTCGTGCTGCGATAGACGACTGGCCGCGCAGATTGAAGGCCTGTATTCAAAATCACGGAGGTCATTTTGAATAAACTTTATTGTCATAATAATCTATGTTTTATTAAGTTCATTTTGGTATATAAATGGTTACATAGTGAATAAACTTGTTTCAATTATTTTATATTAAACATGTGACAGAATTTATGACCTGACTAGACAATTATTATTTTTAAACACGCATTCAGAGTAAGAAAAAAACCCCTAATAAGCACAACTAAAAAAAAACCAAAAAACAGAAGACGGCTGGCCGTATATACCTATATAATACCTATTGTACCTACATACCTACGCGCAGTGAGCAAGCGCATTCTCAAGTCTATCCATCGCGCGTGCGTATCTTTTAGCTTTGTGACAAGACAAGATTTGCAGATAATGCCTCGATTAGTTCTTGTTCTGTGGTCTGGATATAAGAATTTGGACATGGTGTGTTGTTATTGCGAGTGTGACGAAATAGTCGAGCCGCAAGGCTTTACTAAAGTAGGTGTGGTAATTGATTCTGTTTACAAAGTGTATACGGGAAGTTAATAATTACTTTTAATTCCTACCTATAAATTTCTTTATGACCCAAGTATTTAACTACAATAATTATTTGTTTTTGCTTAACATTTGCCTATTGCCAATCATGACAAAATTATTATTAACGGTTTTTCTCTGCATAAGAGAATATGACATTTGTGCTTATTATTTCATTAAATTTGGCATCTTAGAAGATTTTATTGTATTGTGTGGAATCAAAGGAGTCATCTGAGCTCTGTGTACCTACTTGGTACCTACTCACGTGGCCTGATCGCATTCGGACACCTGACAATCGAAAATTCGTAAGACGGAAACAATAAAATTGGAAAGGTTGTTGACTTTCAATATATTGGACGAATCTTAGGAATATTTTATTTTATATAATAAGTCTGTATGTAGGACTTCCAGGTGGCAGCTTTATTGCGAAGAAAATGCATTTTTTTACAATAGATGTCGCTAGGTGCGCTTAAATGAGAAATTCTGAGAGATAAACTTTTTAATGTAATATGAATTGTCATGTTTGTGTACGATAGCGCAATAAATGAATTTTGTATTCTACCACATAAATGATAGTACTTTTATAGGTACTGATAATAATAGTAGCTTGGGCCTCGCTCCGCTGCTGGTGGCCTTCTATCTAGGTTAGGTTTTTTAAACTATATTTATTTTTGTATTTTACTTTTATATCTATTTTATAAAAAACCTAACTTGTGAAATGAAATAAATGAGAGTATAATAATAATTCGTGCAAAATTATTCCCTAACCATTCCAATCGTATATCAAAAAAGCACAACGTTAATATTCAAGTTTTCACTTCTGCCGGCACTCCCGGAGTGCAAAACGTCGTTTTTTCCGTTTTTTTAGAAGTGCTTACTTATTAGTTGTTTTTCACTGGTTATGTAAGTATGCGTGATTAAAATGAATAACAACTCAAACGATGGAAAGGACATAAAAATACACAAATCATAGATAAAAACATGAAAAAAAGGTAAATTTAAAAAATCAAAAATCCCGACTGCTTAATTATTCTTCCAATAAAAACTGAAAAGAAAAAAACAAGTCCAGTAGTCTATAATTCTGTTAATAAGGAACAAAGCTACTTTAACAGTCGGGACCCATTAGATATTCAAGGATACATAATATTTTTCAACAGTGGGTCCCGACTGTTAAAGTAGCTTTGTTCCTTATTAACAGAATTATAGACTACTGGACTTGTTTTTTCTTTTCAATTTTAAGCAGTCGGGTTTTTTGATTTTTTACATTTACCTTTTTTATTTCACACTTTTTAGTTAGTATTTTAAGACGGTATATACCGTAGTCTTGTTACTTCAGTAAGGGAATTAATATCGCGGGAATTATTAAGTACCTTGCGTCGGTCTAAAAGATTGATTTATTAAGACATATAAAGACTTTACCAGCGAGGTCAAGGCTACAGATGGGCCTCAATTTTCGCAAAAATGTGTGAAGTTAAATCAAGTCGTTACATAAATATCTCTAATGTATGTAAATTTTATAGTAAACTAGCACTTACTCAAAAAGTCATCTTTTGTTTGTTTTTTTTTAATAGTTTAGCAGTAAATATAAAATTCATTTACTTTTATTCGTCGACTATTTAAAATTGGCAGTGGCTGCATTGTCATGTCAATGCCGGACGTCAGATTGTGATATACACAAATTCAGTGTCAGTCTCTAGTCTCATAATTTGATATACCTACATAATTCACAGAAACCCAATATGTAGATGCCAGAAGTTAACTTCAAATGTTTTTAATCATCCTATATACAATACCAATCAATGACGTTTATGTCGCAGGTTGAAGAAAGAAGTAATTCCCGTCTGTTGTTTTGGACAATGGTGGCAACTGCCTTAGATCACTAAATTAAATAATTATGCAATCACCAAAGCAAAGTTTATAATATTTGATTAAACTAAAGGCGCATAATAAAATTTTCATAACGTTAGGTAGAGCACCATAGCAATCTCATTTATTATCAATTTATAGTTCTCTTTGTAGTTTTCTTTTAAAGCGTTCACATTTAACAGGTCAAAGACTTTGTGTTCGACCCTTTTTTATTGGTAGTGTAAAGCTCGAATGAAGAGTACTCCCAGTAGTGCAATCATGGCAATTTTTTCCAATTTTTTTTTGTTATAAAAATACCGAATAACGTATCACTGATAAGCACAAAATGCTAAGTAACTTTTACAAATATAATCAAATAAACCTATTACTTACTTTATTTTTAAATCTTTTTCATCAATTAAATGCTTATCTTATCCTAACTATCTATACTAATAATAAAGAGGCAAGATTTCTATGTTTGTAACAAATAATCTGTCAAACTACTGAACCGGTTTCAAATATTAATTCATCATAAGGTAGCTACATTATTTATTATAACATTTTTCTTTATTTAAATACATTTTGTCTGAGTGACATAGGCTATATTTTATCCCGATAAATAAATTTCGCCCGTACAATGCCCGGGTGGATCACTAGTAAGTATAATATAATATTATAGATGCGAAAGTGAGTTTGTTTGTTGCGCTTCCGTGCCCTAATAGCTAAATCGAATATAATGAATTCCCATATAGAAGTAGATGGGAACTTGGTTCTTAGCTACAACATCGCAATACTTATAGGCGTAGGGTGATGAAAGGGGTGATTTACCTATAAAAATCTACATTATTTACTTTGAATTTTGCAGAATTATTACAAAACCAATATTATCGCGAGCTGATTAATAAATACAGGGATTCCAATGAGTATGTACTTACAAGCGAAAAATGGGTTATTTGTCATTATATTAAGTAAACCTTTTTTGTAACCTTAAGTATTATCGTTAAAAACATGAAAAACAGTAAAATTCTGAGTTTTTCATTAAAATTCAATAATCATAAATACCTATTATGATAATATATTTTTCATCATTTAATAAGAAGGAACTGTATCACAGTTTTAATGTGTTAGTACTTCGTATAGGATCAGATACTGCGAATACCCCATTTTTTTTCTTTTACATAGTACACCGCGCTATCACTTTGTCATCGTTGTAACTTTTTAAATATTTGTCGAAATGACAGTGTAAAAAGCAAAGTTTATCGTCTTTAAATATCAAAAGCGATAAAAGTATTTGTTTTGATAAAACATGGTTGTTAATACAAAATGTGCATTTTGGAAATAGATATCAAATAATATTTTAGTTTTGATTCACTATTTTAGCAGTAATGACTTACACATTAAAAATAGATATATGGTGTCACGGACTTTTTTTTTAGAACTATTTATGAGATACATTTTCACTCTACATTACATTCATGTAACTTTTATTGTTTTTGCGGTGCAGGCCAAAATGGCTCGCAGATGGGACATTTTTTTCCGTCTTATGTGACACTTATTGCTATATATTGGCCAATTCACTCAATAACTACATAAATTATTATATATATGTAATTATCATATATGAGCTATATTACTGTTAAGTTTCATTAAAATCCATTCAGTATTTTTTAGGTAAAAGAGTAACAAAGATCCATACAAACGTAAGATTGAAATTAAAAGCGTAAGGTTAATATACAACTTTAAAGCGTTGTAGATCCTAAACAATCATATAAAATGAAAAATGGTGTTAGGAACCTAAATATGATTTTTGATTATCTAGACAGTGATACCCCACTCGACATATTTTGTCAACTTTTTTTTTACTTCGTCACAATATGGCGCCTAATTTTGCCCATATTGAATTTTGATTACTATCATATCTTTAGTAGCACTCCCATGATTGAGACGAATCGATTGATGTATGAATCATCAAAATCGGTCCAGGCGTTTGGTCTCTAGTGTGCCACAAAGGAACAAACATACATATATAGACTGTTAAACACATAACCCTGTCTGCGCGTCGCGCTTCGCGCTCTTGCATTGCGCAGCTGGGTAAAAAAATATACTTCAAAAAAATCAGGCATTCTCTATGTTACACGTAACCCAATAATCCCACAAAATTTCATTAAAACATTAAATTTCACCTATATGTTTTGAGAATTTAACTCCTGTTAATGTTTAAATCTGAAGAAAATTTTAGTAGAAAAAAAATCAGGCAGCAGACGAGAGTCGAACCTGTACCCTTCGCTATCCGTGCGAATGCACTGACCATTATGCTACCGCGGCCCTGATAGCCGTGTCGAATTTTCTCTAGCATTTCTTGGTCTGCAAGGCAGCCCCATCTGTTCACATTGTAGATAACCCACAATGGCAAATGAATACCTTTACAAGTATGAAACACTTTAAAGAAGAAATAGCAATTATAGTTATATATTTTTAAGCATTAAACTACTAGATGTTCAGAAGAATTGAAGAAAATTTTACTAGAAAAAATTCCACGCGTACAGTTTGTCTATAAAGTCGTGACATGAATGTTTGAGGAACTAACATTATTCATGTGTCTGGCAACACCAAACTTATGTACATCAGCTGTCATCGAGTTTGTGTTGTGGAACAGTTTTCCTTTTGTTTTTTTATTGTTTGGATTAAACTGTAATAAATTAAGACGAAACTGCGCAGAAAGGTATAAAAATGAGTAAAGTAAATCGGAGTGGCACGCGGGAAGTGATTTTTAAAGTTTTCCAGCGATGTTTCGAAGACTTCCAAGCTGGATGAATTTTGTGGGATTTGGATGATGTTTATGGGCGAACAGCATCTATGACGGGTATGTAATCTTGTAACTATTTGTTTGTAATCTGCCTGAAGTTACAAATTTACTCAATTTACGATTTTGAGACCAAAAAAGGCATTGTTTACATTGCACATTTTTAGGTTAGATTGTAAATAGGTAATATTGTAGTACGACCATTTCTTTTGATACGTTATTATGGTTCAACTCGGTCAGGTTTTCTACCAGTTTTGAATTCATTGCTTCATGTCAATAAGTTATTGCTTCTATTCCGTTACATATTTTTTTACTTTTTTTCAGGAAAATCAGAGAGTCGTCAACGAAGGTTTTAAGAATGATGGAAAGTTTGAAACTCCTGGGAAAACAGGCAAGGCCGACCAAAGAAAGAAATGGTCACTTAAAGAACCAATTGTTTCTCTAAATAAACTTTTTATATACTATAAAATGATTTTTAGTATTATTTTCTTAACAAGTGTGTTAAAAAACGTTGTATGATGATACTTGTGTGTATTGATGATTATCTAACGGCTTTGGTCTCAATGGCACCTCAGCGGTTATCACCAACATTACACACTTTTACACTATAAAGTACTATTTTATCTATAATCATTTTATTCTGATTCAATTAAATATGCTTGGCTAAAATTTTTGTAAGCATAGGTACCTACTATATATAAAACAGAAACAAAATACGACTGTATAGTGTGTCTTATGTACCTATTTTACTTGAATGAACTGCTAGTATCAAAATCATTTTGGTCAGACTGTATAGGGTTGCTACATGCATACTAGTGGCGCCATCATTTAATGTCACGCCTTTATAGACAAACTGTACCAGGCAGCAGACGGGACTCGAACCTTCGTTATCCGGGCGATTATTTCATGTTTTTTGTTACGTTACTTATAATTGTGTGACATGTTACCATGAAGTTACTATTAAGGAAACTTTATTATAAATAACTATATAAAAACGCGTTTAATACAGTTAAATGCGTATGAATATCACACGGGACTACTGAGAATTGAAATCCCGTCCTGTCAGTGAAGCCTCTGAGTTTTAAATTACCAGTAGTATAGTTAAAGAAACCCCTGGGAAAAATAACAGTATTCCCATCATGGAACTGCTCCACAGGGACTAGTGGGAATACAAGTCCTATTACTTACTTAGCGCTTAGTCAACAAAACGCGCATTTTTTGTACCTATTTAAAATAAGTTAATGCAATGTGGTTTTTTCGTGACAAGTTCTTCTGTAATACGGGTTCTTTCATATTTTACAATACAATATTTAACTACTTTAGCTGAGACTTTAGTGTTTTAGAGCTATAGTTAGCATAAAATAATACCTCTGATTCAAATGCCCGTTTGTGTGTACACATTTCGTATAACAAGCAGCCCAGAGCCCAAATATCACTTTTGGTGTCATAAGGTTTGCCTTCACAAAGTTCAGGAGCCAGATAGTATGGTGTACCAATAACTGTTGAAGTTTTTTTTGCACTAGAAAAAAATATGAACATATTGCTTACACCTAATATAAAATAAAATTAATTTTATATCACAGTAGTGTCGATTCTGGCATGATTGTCTTAACCAAAGATTTGAATTGTGTCTAAACCTAAAATTAAAGGAGAAAATTCAAAGGGCAGTCGGTTTCCCGCAGCGACGAAATATATATCATTTGACAGCTTGTTATATATTAAAACATGAAGAGATACTTTTATCTCCGATTTTGCATCAATTTTAAATCGTGTTTAAAAATTTTACTTTTTTGTAAGGATGTTGGCCACGCTGTTATGCAACATCATATTTTTAGTTTGTAGCAGCTTATAACCGACTAGTAGGGATGTGCGATCCGGGTCGTCGATCCGATTTTTCGGATCGTAATGCTTCGATCCGATCCGCGGATCGGATCGCATGCCGTCGATCCGATCTTCAAGAAATCGGATCGGATTGGATACAATAAATGAAACAAATTATTTTAGATTTTTATTTGGTAAACCTATCAATAATCGTCACACCTAATCAGGTACAACTTTTGTTTATAATAATAGAATGTATAAGATTAACGGATCCACCTGCAAAGAATGCCGCCAAGTTAAAATGTAAACAAAGATAAAGTTCGTAACAGAAACCTTAGTAAGTACCTACCCAATTTATTGTAAACAAACCGCGTTTTAATTCATACGATCCAAGCGATCCGATCTTTCAAGTTTTGTAACGATCCGGCAAAAAATCGTATGGCCTCGATCCGATCCGAAAATTACCGGATCGTATTCCTTCCGATACGATCTTTCAAATGATCGGATCGGATCGGCGCATCCCTACCGACTAGTGGCCCGCCCTCGCTTTGCTTCGGTGTAGAGCTGTAGTGTAGACTATAGTTTTTGTTCAAAGGCTTGTATTATACAATGACTTTCTTTATAATAATTATAAACCTTCCATTCCAAGTAAAAAATTCGTTGCGTAATTTAGGACCCGTTGTACCGAATGCAAAATTGTTCTGCTGTTCCGATCAGATAAAATATTTTTGTATTGGACAGTGCATTTATCGAGGAAGGCTATAGGCTATACAGGCTGTTACAAAAATACAAATAGAGCTTGAAGGGTGTTAAAGTACATCATATAAGGAGTCTTCTCTAATTTTCTTAAAATATTTGCATGAAGTTTTAACTTTTTATAAAATCAGTTATTTTTAATGATCCTCGAACTAGTGACGTGTCGTGTCTTAAAATGACCGATATTTTTATTAATCATTAAAAATAACTGTTTTGCTTGCGCTGGGTAAACGGTTAAAGTTACACAAAAATCATGTATGACGGAATTCTTCCCCTTTAAAAGTTCTGTAAAAAAGTCCACGACAGCCTATGTACATATTTTAAGTTTGCAGACTTTCTGTATATATTGGTATCCTCTGTAAAACTTTAGTACATCACTTTGCTCTATTATCAATGACTTCCGCAGCGTACGCGATATAAGGCTATTTTTTGGTATATTTTACACACGTTGGATTCCATTATCGAAGTTTTCATACGGAACCCTAACTTTTTTGAAAATACACTATAGCCTATATTAATCAGTGATAATGTAGCATTCAAATGGCGAAAGAAGTTTTTAAATCGGGCCAGTACTTTTTGAGCCAATTCGTTACAAACATACTTACATACAAACTTTTGCTCTTTATAATATTAGTATAGATTCACTATGGCAAATGTCAATCAGTCCGATCGTGCTTGATATTCGTAAAATCGTGGTGAACTTATTATACCAATTAATGATTTGTTCTCCTTGAAATAACAAAATACCTTGAAAGATCGATTGATGTAATGAAAGATGAACAGAATGATTATCACTGCTTTAGTTACATTTTGAATAAAATATATTTGATGCTTTGGGAACAAAAATATATAAATTAAATAAGCTTGCCATTAGCCAATGAATAATTTTATATTATTATAATTATTTAATAAAAACGGGTATAAAATAAATTCTAGTTTTTTCGCAAACGATTTACTATTTACACTACACCTGTGTCTGCCAAGACTGTCTGCCAAGACTGACTACCAACCTCCAATCTCCAATTCTCCATACAAAATTGAGCTGTCTCCTTTGACTGTGTATCGTTGTCATGTGCTTTATAGAATGAAAAAAATAATGATGTTAAATTTAGTTTTAAGTTTAGACAATCGCACCAGAATCGACACCATTATTATGATAATATAAATAATTAAAACACACACCTTGCCAACATTTTAGAAATACCAAAATCGCCTATTTTAATCAACACGCCGTTTTTTCCAGTCATTAATATATTTTCCGCCTTGAGATCCCTATGAATAACATTCAAGCTGTGAATGTAATTTACCCCGAGTAATACTTGTGAGAAGAAAAACAAAATTTCCTGCAAAGCAAAAGAAACATCGTGTTGTCCGTACCCCAAGCACGAACCATCATCGAATTCGAATAGTTTGCGAGTGCGAAATGTCATTGCCAAAATAAATGTGTACTGATTTTTAGTTCTCGTTACGTCCATTAAAGTGCTGCTGTTCAAGTTTCTATACAAAATTTGACATTGACATTTCGGCCTCGCAAACTATTCGAATTCAATAATAGTTCGTGCTATGCTAAGGGTATATAGTACCCTTAGCACGAACCATTATGTAAGTCAAATGTGTATTGATTTTTAGTTCTCGTTATGTACTTTGTGCCGCTGCTGTTCAAGTTTCCATACTAAATTTGACATTGACATTTCGGTTTGCAAACTATTCTAAATCGATATTGGTTCGTGCTAGGGGTACAGTACCCCTCGTTACGTACTTTGTGGAGCTGCTGTTAAAGTTTCCATACAAAATTTGACATTAACATTTCGGTTTGCAAACTATTCGAATTGGACAATGGTTCGTGCTAGGGTTACTGATCTCAAATAGGTATGGTATTTAATGAATAGGTAAGTTAAGGTAGGTAGTATAAAGACATGGCCGCACCCAGAGTCGTCAATTAAATTTAATAGGTACTTGTAAAGTGAATATCTTATTCTATTGCTTTACTTACAGGAAAGTGAATTGATGTCTCTGAGTGCGATCGTTATAGGTACTTGTTTCTGCGTCAAACCCATCTCTAGGTGTTGAAGTTTAAGTTGGCACTAGAAAGAGTGGATGAATGCTACACGAGTCAAAAAATAAGGCAAAAAATGCACCTACCTGGATTCGACCTCAGGACTTTTGGAGCCGAAGGCGGGAATCAAACTAGAGTAATTAGCGTGATAAAAACAAGCGATATATCATATAACTGTGCTCATGCTAGTTGATGCTAGGGGGAGAAGCTATTACGGAAGACGTGTCCCTTAATGCTTCTGTAAGATTGCTAGGTATTTACGTTGGAAGTGCACTTGGCCGGTTTTTAGGGTTCCGTACCTCAAAAGGAAAAAACTGAACCCTTAAAGGATCACTTTTTTGTCCGTCCGTCTGTCAAGACCGTTTTTTTTTAGGAACACGTGGAGGTATCTAACTATATTCATATCTAATACTCAGGTCTATTGTCCCTTGGAGCTGTGAAAAAATTAAACTTCACAGCCAAAGCAATCAAAAGATACAGCCATTTATTTTTTGCGCAAATTTTCGAAACTCGCACGTGAATCAAACCTACAGGGTACTTGCCGTGCACTTAGAATCTTAAAATTTGGTACGAAGTAACGTCTTATAGTAGAGATAAAGGAAAAATTGGTCCTACTCACACCTGGCCGGTTTTTTTTTCTAAACTGCAACACAGAATTCATAATACAATGCAACCTTAATATAACGTACCTCAAAATAACGACTTCCTTGATTTAAGAAATTCTTTGTAATCCCCTTGAATTTTCCTTAAGAGTCAATTTAAAATATGCCTTTGCATTGCGAACAACCTCTTTTTAATAGATTTTCAACTATAAAAAAAGAGTAACTAAATACCTCTAAAAAAATTTATTAACGAATTTTGTCAACCAACAACCTCTAAGTAGGTATATAACGGTTCCATCAATAGTACGTGAATACGTGATTTATGCCACGCCAGGAAACTATTTTTTACCTCTTTATAACAAATTTAAGACCAACCTACCTCAATATAACAAACCTTAGTTGAACGAATTACATAATTATAACGAATATTTACTTGTTCCATTCCGATTTGTTAGATAGAGGTTGCACTGTATTACAAGTAGCTACACCCTGCATCTTTGATGCTATGTGCTATGCTAACCCCGGAAGTGATAGGATAGGTAGGTAAAAGGCGCAAGGCAGTTTAAGTATCATACCTATATCTGTTATGTACAAAACTTACCTGTTGCTTTATTAACTTTGGGTAACGTTGATACATGTATTCTGCTAGATTCCCGCTAGTAGCATACTCCATAGATATCAAAACATGATTATCAGCATAAAAGCAGTCGTAAAATGTAATTATATTTGGATGTTTCAACGATGATAAAATATTAACTTCATTTGCAATATCCTGCAAATTAAAATTAAAGTATCATCTTCAGCTGAATCAGAATATTTACACTCTTGGGCAGTCGTCTAAAAAATTCAATACCTTAAGGATCAATATTTATTGTGTGCCTATGTTATATTATTTTAATTAGGTATTAAACTGCTACTCGATAAATCTAAAAAAAAGCGAGTGTGCTTATGACCACACGACTGAAGTGAAACTTCTTTAGCTCTGATGATCTGAAAATCATAGACTTAACCTGAAGATTTGTTGATAGTAAAAAACCACCAATCCGCGCTAGGTCCATTATCATCCTCCAATCCGCACTGGGTCCATTTTCAGCGACCAATGCGCGCTGGGTACGTTATCACCCACCAATCCGCACTAGGTCCGTTATCATCCAACAATCGGCGCTGGGTCCGTTATCACCCACCAAGCACTAGATTCATGTATTTTGTGACGGATACCTATTGTTCATTGTTACCGATGAGTCATCGGTGTCGCGTAACGCAAAAATCGTAACACAATCGCCAATATACCCCCAAGTCAAGCGTGCGTAAAGGAGTTCCACTTCAAACTTGCCCGGATAGAGAAAAGAAGAAGACAATCTTATGTCCGCCGCCTAACCCTACTCTACGATTGTGATCTAAACACGGGATCTAAATATAAGACTATTTATAAAAAGTGAATACATAATATAAAAGTATATACAACTATTTTAAGAAGCCTGTGTTTTATGGTGAGCGCTTCAGCCATCCGACGCTGCGCTGCCCAAGAGGAGAATCCCTATAGTACCTTCTATAAGTACTACTTATCTATTTTTGTTGAGTCTCATCAATTTTTGTACCTACTTAGTTGTCTAATCTTCGCTTATCTATTTTCAACCAACCTGCTTGTGATCTTGAATCTTCCCATTAAGTTCAATGTCTTTGACTATACTTAAAACACTGCTGAGTTGATTTTCACACAAATAGACATTTCTGAAAAGAAGTAAGGATGATGGGTAATTTATGATCAATCTGTCTCTCAAAAAGTTCCCAGTACTCTAAGTAACTCCCGTTCGCCTCGCCCGAACACACTTTTCGTAACGCCTAACGCATTCGCCAGCTTACCCCCCAAGTCAAGCGTGCGTAAAGAAGTTTCACTTCAAAAATCCTTAGTATAGAACTTTTCAACAAAAAAATACAAGTATACAAACTTCATAGTAATTTGGCAATTTATTGAGCGTGATAAAAACGCGTTATATATCAGATCGCAGTGCTCATGCGAGGGGGCCAGGAAGTACAGTTTTACCGAATACCTACATAAAACAGGGAATTTAATCTTTTGCTGCGTAGGTACATACCCGTATGTTCCTTGTCCTATTGTCTTCAAAACATTCATATTATATTTCTTAAATCTTAATGTAACATCCATTATACAAAATTATAAAACTATCCACCATGGTCAAAATTTTGTTAAGTAATTGTTGCAATATTTTCAATAGAGGGTAAGTACACCATACTTCTGCTGCTCATATTCACTTACCCTCCTTTAGGCTAAGTTCGGATGGTCACGCGGCACGCGACAACGCACGCTTAGAGAATCGTACCAGAATCGATACCATTGTTGCGTTCTGTAGTAAATAAAATATATCTGTCAAAGTGTATTCCCATCCCAATCCAATATCCACAGTCTGTGACTGTGATTCTGTGTGTGAATGGAGTGCACGGTTCCCAACTTAGGGGTTTTGCCCCCAGATTTAGGGGCTAGAAGTATTAAAACGGTTTTTTTAGGGGCTGGAATTTTTTGGAGGTTCTTTTAGGGGCTTTTATCAAAACTTGCAGTTAAATCGAAAAACAAAGCGTGTGTTTTCTTTCAGTTTTGTGCGTAGAATGGAACGCACCATGCTATGAAACAACAGAACTGAACTGAACTGACTGTGAGGTTTTTGGCGGGATTTCATCGAGTGCGGTTAGCGTCTTATTATAATTATTCTTAAATTTGTTCATAGTGGATATTGTGAAATAAAATTGGTGTGATTTTGTGTTACAACCGTCTGCGCAACTGAAGAATTAGTGGAATCTTTAAAATATACGCTATTCCGGTCAAGTGGACGTGAGAATTTTATTGTAGTACTAGCTGACCCGGCGAACTTCGTACCGCCTTAGCGTAGCTTTGATGCACTACTTTATTTTGTATATCTGACCTATCTTATGTATGAGTACCTATTCAATTTTTTTATTTTTCTTTATATTTTTTTCCGTAAGAACCTTGTACAGAGTATTAGAAAACTACAAAAAAAAAATCAGCCAAATCGGTCAAGCCGTTTTCATGTTATGTCGTGACAACGGAAAACGGGTTTCATTTTTATATATATAGATTGACTACCTCACAGAAGCTTATCGAAAAAGCCAACTCGATATTTTTCGTGTCAAACACTCCAAAAAGCATTAGAATGCGTCACACCCTCATTCTAATGTAAAAAAAGGAAGATTTATACAAAAATAAGACGATGGCTGCATGGCTATGCCTTTCTCAATAGAGAAGAATAGAACTAAAAAAAAATGAACTGACTGTGTGGCGGGTTGTTTGTAACTACTTCCTAATCTGTGGGTTGCTTCCTATGGGTGCGGCCAGAGTGCACTCAGATTCAGAGTCAGATTCAGATTCTGAAAACAAGCGCGAGAAATAAACAGTGTAGTCTAAGCAGGTTGTCTGCTTTTTCTCGCGCTTTGTTTTCTGAGTCTGAATCTGAATCTGAATCAGGAGTGCACTCTGGCCGTACCCTTCGACTACACTGTTTATTTCTCGCGCTTGTTTTCGGAATCTGAATCTGAATCTGAGTGCACTCTGGCCGTACCCTTAGGGTAACCGAGAAAATATACAGTGTAGTCTAAGCAGGTTGCCTGCTTTTTCTCGTGCTTGTTTTCTGAGTCTGAATCTGAATCAGGAGTGCACTCTGGCCGTACCCTTCGACTACAGTGTTTATTTCTCGCACTTGTTTTCGGAATCTGAATCTGAATCTGATTCAGACTCAGAAAACAAGCGCGAGAAATATACAGTGTAGTTTAAGCAGGTTTCCTGCTGCCACTATGGCCACCCTGCTTTAACTACATTGTTTATTTCTCGGTTATGTTTTCTGAGTCTGAATGTGAATCTGAACATTCATATTATATTTCCTAAATATCTGAATCAGAATAAATCTGAATCAGATTCAGACTCAGAAAACAAGCGCGAGAAATATACAGTGTAGTTCAAGCAGGTTGCCTGCTGCCACTATGGGCACCCTGCTTTAACTACATTGTTTATTTCTCGCGCTTGTTTTCTGAGTCAGAGTGCACTCAGATTCAGATTCAGATTCCGAAAACAAGCGCGAGAAATAAACAGTGTAGTCGAAGGGTGCGGCCAGAGTGCACTCAGATTCAGATTCCGAAAACAAGCGCGAGAAATAAACAGTGTAGTCGAAGGGTACGGCCAGAGTGCACTCCTGATTCAGATTCAGACTCAGAAAACAAAGCGCTAGAAAAAGCAGGCAACCTGCTTAGACTACACTGTTTATTTCTCGCGCTTGTTTTCAGAATCTGAATCTGAGTGCACTCTGGCCGCACCCTAAGGCTGTATGGACTAAAGTTAAAAAACAGCTAAATAAGATTTAACAGCCTGTCAGCTCATTTTCGTTTGATTGTCCTTTCGGAAACTGTATTTATTCAATAAAATAATTTACTAAATATGTAACGTTTTAATTTATGAGCAACGAAAGATTTTGGGTAATAAGTAGGTACTTTATAAATTGTATATTTAGGGGAATTTCAAAAATACATAGGGGGAAATTTTGGTAACACTGATGGAGTGAACTTGTAAATGGTGTTTTTGGCGGAATTTCATCGAGTGTGGTTGGCGTCTTATTTTAATTATTCATAAATTCGTTCATAGTGGATATTGTGAAATAAAATTGGTGTGGTTTTGTGTAACAACTGTCTGCGTAACTGAAGAATTAGTGAAATCGTTAAAATATACGCTATTCCGGTCAAGTGGACGTGAGAATTTTATTGTAGTGTTGACTATCTCACAGAAGCTTATCGAAAAAGCCAACTCAATACATTTCGTGCCAAATACTCCAAGAAACATTAGAATGCCTCACACCGACATTCTAATGTAAAAACAAAAAGAAGATTAATTTAATTAAAGACCAGGCTGTATGGGCATTGTTCCCTTTGCCTTCCCTAAAACGGGAGAACTTCAACAAAAAAAAGAACTTGTAAATAATATCTGCTGGCTGCAGCGATCAACACTGTTAAATTAAAATTTTCTAATTTTTACAGCAACTTTGTTAACAATAATTTAATATATATACTGAAATATCATAACACTAACTACAATGGGTCAATCCATGGGTTCCTTTGGGGCGCGAAACGTAGATCTTTACATGAACGATAATCCAACTTTCGATCCCCAAACTGGCTTTTCCTTTGAAAGAAAACCAAGAGGTAAATATAGTTTATTTATTTTTCACAACAGAATAAAATCACGGATTTTGTGGACTGGTTAAGAAAATTAAAAATATATAACAACAACCAGAATGTTACATAATACTGTTAAGGTTACTTAGTAGTAGTAAAAAGCATAACAATCTAAAATTCTGCCCATTTTACCACGATTGTATCCGGTGAAAACAAAATAATGTTTTATTTTCAGAAATGAAGGCTCGTGAAGAAGATCTGATATCAGCTAGGATACCACCACAGTTTAGGGATTATTGTGCACATTATTTGCTGGACTACCAAGTGTGTCGTTATAAGAATATGCCAATGCTTTATAAATGTGCACATGAAAAGCATGACTACTTAAACTGTGAACATCAAGAGTAAGTAATATTTAAAGCAATCTGAAAGAAAAAGTTTTTGAATCTATTTACAGTGCGATCAAGATCTTGTGGCACTTAGATGACATTGATAGGAGGGTGCTGCTGGTGAATAAGTGGTGAAATGAGGATTAAAAAATGCATAAAATCTCTATACTAAAGGGAATGTTATGTAGATATGAGTTATTGTAAATTAAATTTACAATGACCCTGAAAGAGTAATAGGAAATATAAAAGGCTTTTAAACACCTTCCCCAATATATAAAAGGCTTATTTTATACCTTCCTAAAATGAGTTTCGATTTCAGCTATGTACCACAAGATCTTGGTCACACTGTAAACAAATGCAGTTCCAAAATAAAGTAGAAGGTAGAATGCCATTATTACTACTTATTTTAAAAACAGAGTAGACTAGGAAAGTTATAATACCATCACTTACTGGCTAAGTCCTTCCTTTTAACTTTGTATAATTTTAACATCAACATTAAGAAAATTCACATGAGTGTTCATCATCTTTCAAATTCATTATAAAATTGTTGTTCTTTGTAATAAAGAATAGAAAAAAACTCAAGCAAAAGTAATTTTATTAATTATGTGCAGTTTATTTGAACCACTATTACACAGTGTGTGACATAATTTACTGTCAGTGTGTCATTGACACAATGTTATTGTAATTGCATCAGAAGAGGTTTGATAACAATATTATTACTTTGCAGTTATGTACTCCGCATGAAAGAATTTGAACGTGAACGTCGTCTACGCCTCAGAGAACAGCGTATAGTTGGCGCAGCTTGAAGGTCATGTCAAAACATGTTATACTAGTACATTGTTATTATTTATGTAAATAGAATAAAACTTATAAGAAGTTTTGACTTTCTATTTAGTACAATTATTAAGTAATTTACACAACAAACTTTTCATTTTTAGGGTTCCGTACCTTGAAAGGAATAACGGAACTCTTATAGGATCACTTTCTTATCCATCTGTCTATCAAGACCCTTTTTCTCAGGAACGCCTGAAGGTATCAAGCTTAAGTTTATATCAAATACTTAGGTCTACTGTGCCTTAGAGCTCATGAGAGGCAATCGAAAGATACAGCCTGTTATACTGGAAGTTTTTGAAGCTCTCAGGGGAATCGAAATCTGCAGGGAAATTTCCGTGAACAAATAACGGAAAATTTTCGAAAATCGTAAATATACCTACAGGTTTGTACGGAATCCTTGGTGCGCAAGTCCGACTTGCACTTGGCCGGCCATTTTGATCAGTGCTGCCATTTTTTCATGCAGAAATAACATGTTTCTTGTTGTCTATGGTAAAAAATATGTTGATTATGTTGGTACTATTGTCAAAATGACATATGTCCCGCCATTTTGTGTTTGTTTTGAGAAATGTCAGTCAGTCTGTTCGTCGGTAAAAAGTATATTTGCTATTATTTACTTGGTAAATAAGAAATAGTATGGGCTCCACACTTAGAAAAAAAGGTAAATGTGGCTTTACAACAATCTTTAATTCAGAACCGACTTGGTCAACCCCGACACGCCGTGGTCTTGGTCTGCCCTACTCCGTGCTCCTGCGTAGGGAGAGCAACCCCCGCCTGCTGTGACAAAGCCGCAAGCATCGTGCGACCCGTAGCGCCGCGCAAAGGCGTCACGCAAAGGCGGCGGGGCTGCTATTCCCGCAGCGCCGGAGATAAGGCAGAACTACTGGTTCTTACTTCCCTAGTCCTTGCATCCTAAAAAAAATATGAATTTTTGGGTTAGGATAATTAAAAAAAAAAACATATATTTCCGACTAAAATCTTTAGTAGGGGGGGAGTCGGGGAGACCCCCTCCTCCACCCACATCGAAACTACCCCGAAATTCCACCACAACTAATGGAATTTAGTACCACAAATGCTGATCCAAACTGTTATAACCATCCTCCAACGATTACTGATGGACATCCACAACGGACTGGATACCATTCCAGCGATAACGAACGCATTAATATGGTTACAACAGCAAACCAAGATCCCAGGACATTAAGAATTATCTACTGGAATCCGGGCGGTATCAAAACCCACCAAAATGAACAAAACGTTTCATAGCGCAAGAAGAAGACGCACACTAAAAAAAACGAGCGAGCCTTTCAGTAGTCGCGTATGATATGTAACATTTGAAACCTCACCTAATATTAGTAAAAAAAGAAAAACCTACTACAAAAGGAATAAGCCATTTGAACATTATGTTCTAAAATCAAATCAAATAGCGCGCGCTTTCGCGACCGCCTGTTATACACTTCCGACCTATTTCACGAAATCACTCCCACAAATAGGCTAGTTGACCCTTTTTGGAAAAAGGTTTTAAATGGTTAATCGATGTTCTATTAGACCGAAAAAAATGTATTGTATTTTTTTGAGACCTAGAAAGCTACAAATCTTTAATTTTAAAATAGACTTTTCATGGACATACAAAAACGCTGCCGGCCATTTTAGTCTATAGATTATCTATGCTATGACGTTGACAGTAGTAAACAAAAACTCGTAAGCACGTAGAAAATAACCCATCTGAGTTTATAATAAAAAGAAAACATGATTTCTAATAGATACCACGAAAAATATAGTAATTATTATTATTGTATTGTACGAGTATGTAAAAAAAAATCTTTGAAGACTCCAGGAAAGTTGTGGATTAAAGTGCCGAAAGAAATTAACCTACGCAATATCTGGTTAGAACTTGCTAAAAGGGATCCTGCAACTTTAACGCCTCATAGTAAAATTTATTTTTGCGAAGATCACTTTGATGTAAATACTCATTGAATAATATTTTAAGTCTCTTCATTTATTATCAGTTTTAATAATACAAGTTTTAAAGTTATGTATGAATGACATTTAGTTGTTTACTAAAACGTCACAATCATGGCGGATGTGGCGAACAGCGTTTTTAGTGTTTAAAAAGTATAGACTAAAAATTGTTTTTTTAAATTAAATTTCTACAGCAATCTTCTGCTTTTATGAAGTGAAATCGATATATTTAGGTTCCTTAGACAAAATACTTTAAGAAATAAACATTTATTTAATACAATTCGACATGAGTCAACTAGCCTATTGCAGGAAAGCGAGAGGAAAGATGTTTCACATCAAAAATTCCCAACTACACCACGTCGTGACGAAGTAGATCAAGTCAGACGAGCGTACAGAGGTACGGTAGCCCTAGTACAAAGAGACATTGTCCTCGAAGAGCTGCCTTGGATCAACTACACAGTTACTCTATGATCAACTACAAAACAATCAGAACAGGGGTCCGTATTAAGGCAGACCATAAAGAAATAAAAGTTTACTTCGCACACAAACCGCCCCAAGATTCCGTCCACTTTTCATACTTTTCCAAATTAACACCTCCGACCGCAACTACTTCAAGCAATAGGGTACGGCCAGAGTGCACTCAGGTTCAGATTCAGATTCCGAAAACAAGCGCGAGAAATAAACAGTGTAGTCGAAGGGTACGGCCAGAGTGCACTCCTGATTCAGATTCAGATTCAGACTCAGAAAACAAAGCGCGAGAAAAAGCAGGCAACCTGCTTAGACTACACTGTTTATTTCTCGCGCTTGTTTTCGGAATCTGAATCTGAATCTGAGTGCACACTGGCCGCACCCATAGAACAGAAAAACAAGTGACAGGACTCTCAGATGCCACACACATTCCAAATGAACAACATCAGGCAGACATACTGGACATTGTTCTGTACAAGGGAACCACAGCCCCAATGAGGGTAGAGGTCCTATCCTATACATCACAGACACCCAACACCTGCCTCTACTGATAACCTAGAGCCAAAGGGTACGGCCAGAGTGCACTCAGATTCAGATTCAGATTCCGAAAACAAGCGCGAGAAATAAACAGTGTAGTTAAAGCAGGGTGGCCATAGTGGCAGCAGGCCGCGCAGGTTTCGGAGTCAGACACTTTACCGGAATGTTTAGGTCATTCAGATTCTGAATTCACCAGCGCCGCTCGGCAGTGTTGCCAACTCGGATTTTGAAAAATGCGTAGGCCCGATGAGAAAATTACGTAGAATTGGTAAATTTTGCATATGAAAAGTACGTAGATCTACGTACTTTTTTCTGAGTGAAATGAAGAAGGTAGGTGAAACCGAATTAAACGAGTATTTTATTATACAATTTCTTTAAAAACGGGCGATAGAACAAAGAGTTCTTGGAGAAGTCGCTGCATTGGAAGCATAAATGCTTTCAACTATACCATACCACAGCATGGTAAACCATGCTGTGGTAGACATTTACTATCAGACACAGACACTGGTGGATGTCGATTCTGGCATGATTCTCTAAATTTAAAACTAAATTTAACATCAGTCTCTCCTTTTCATTCTTTATAGAGAATGACAAGGATACATTGTTGTTAAATAGGCTAGTTGACACTTTTTGCAATTATGTTTTGAAATGTTAATGATTGTTCTATCAGACCGAAAAAAAATGTATTTTTTTTACCTACAAGACATACAAAAACGCTGTATATTCTATAGACTTATCTATGCTATGACGTCAAAACATTTGTAAACGAACACACGCAAGCACGTAGGAAATAAACTTTCCGTGTTAATATTATAAAACCATGATTTCTAATAGATCACATGAAAAATTTAGTAGTTATCATGATACACTTGGTAAAAGACTAGAAAAGTTGTGGTTTAAATTGCCAAGAGAAAAAAACATACTTCATGAACACATGTTTAAAACTTGCTAAATCCTGTAACTTTATCCACTGAAAGTCATTTTTTTTGCAAAGATCAATTCGATGTAAGTACTCATTGAATAATATTACAGTTTAAAAATACAATTTTCAAGGTTATGAATGTTTTTTAATAACCAAAAAATTTTGTTTCTTTTTATAGTTCGCCATAATTTTGTACCCTAATTGAGTGGATTATATAAATATAATATTTGTGATAGTATAGTAAATTGTAAATTAAAAGCTGTGATTGAAATTTTAAGTTCTTAAGAGCAAACATATATAAAGTCTTATATTAAACAAAACTGCTATATTATTAGTCATTATCTATGTTTATAATTTTTTTATGATAATATTTACTTTAAAATTTTAAAGTTTAACATAGATATGCAAAACTCATTATATAATAAAAAAAATGTTATTTGTCATTAAAAATAATTTCATTAACATAGCATTTTTTTGTATTATTAATGATTGTTCCTACATATACTATAAACCATACAAATTATTCAAATTACACTACCCTCGCGAATCCAGATCCAGCTTTCCGGTTAATCCGGACAGTCTGTTCCCATCATATCCAGATTAGTGAGATTGTAATAAATTCTTACCTAATGGTTATAACAAGGCGTTCTTCTGGAAGAATCTTGTGTTTGTGCAAATTACACCAATTCTTCATCATTTGAGGTTCACATTTTTTTAAAATGTAGTAGAACGTTTCCACTTCCATCCTAAAATATTGGAAGAAACGTTTCCTATCATCTTTGAATTGGGGAAACAAATGGTGGTATTCCCCATATTCACTCCTTAATTTATTAATTTGGTGAACACCGATTCTCTCGCGTTTTAATTTATAATGACAACTATCAGTAGCCATTAACAAGCACGCTAGATCTTCATTAGAAAATTCCATGTTTAAGTTTCTGGATCAACGAACATATAACAATGTACTCTATGACTCCGTACGCGTCGAATGAGAAAGAGAGACTGTTGAATGACTGTCGATTGCGACTTTGTACAGATTAAAAGTTTATGAAGTGGTTTTATTTTTATATAAAAATGTAATAAAAAAAAAATCCGTTTCGCCCAAAACAAAATTTCGCTTTAAAACCCCCCCAAATATCGGGTAACTCCCCCCCAACCTGGCAATAGTGCTCGCGTCCGCGTCTTGTAATCTGCCTCCACTGTGGCCATCACCTGCTTTGCTCAAGCTGACATCTCACGAGCCTGCTTTCTGAATCTGAATCTGAGTGCACTCTGGCCGCACCCAAACGCAATATCGCCCCGCCCCACAGTGGTCCGGATTTTGAATGTAGTGGTCTTAGGACCCCAGGGTAATATTTCGCGCTGAAAAAATTCATGCGGACAGATGAGTGAACGCTCATCAACTTTTGTTCTAGCAGTTTTCATGTAATCGTATATTTTCGCGAAAAAAAAATATTTAAGAAAAATATGTATGAAGCGAAACTGAAATACTTTTTTTCCTCGAAATGTTTAAAAGTGTTAGCAATGAAACCATTTGTAAATTATTGTATGATATTTATTTATTAATTTCACCAACAAATCTTTTGCATGCACTTGCAGCTTTGGTGTTTATGTGCAGTTTAACTTAAAATATATTATATATAAAAAATTACATGAAATCAATACTTTTTTAGTCTGTTAAGTGGTTTTGGGAAAGTACAATACTAATATATAATTGTCTATATCAACACAGATATCAAATTACAAAATAATATAATTATTGAAAATTGTTTATTGCATAATCCTTACAATAAAATGTAATAATCGAAGGTGGTTTATACTTTTAAATTCAAAAATTATAAATTAGTACACTTAAACAAGAATAATAAAAACATAGTAAAATGGTAAAAGTAAACTAAACATACAAAATAATACAAAGTAATAAATTAATATAAGAAAACTTAAAAATTATTCCAAAGGATCTGCCACATTTTGTGGAGCTTCTATTTCTTCATCTTCAACTTCTATTGTTTCTTCTGTTATTAATAACTGCAACGCTTCTGGAAACATACTTGATGATTTAAAATTGGCGTATTTAGGTTTCAGATGAGATATATATGGATCCGAAGATATCAAAAAATTGTGTATAATATCTTCATTATTTTGAAATCTTCCTGTTTTTCTCGTGTGGCGCTCTCTGGTATTTCGGAAGTCCTTATTTCTTGCTTCTGCTGCTTCTTCTGACAAAATTCCTATAGGAAGACAAGAAAAATGTTTGCATATGTCTGCGCCATGTATCAGCATTTTGTGTACGCTGGAAGGCATGTTGTACCAGGGGTAGTGATGTACAAAGAGTTCAGCAGTCTCCTTGCAGTATCCACGGAATTGATCGATATTGACAGCCTTTCCAGAAGATAACACTTCCAATATGACTGCGAAGTGTTTTATCAAATGAGCATCAATCTTCGTTATTTGAGCTGTCTTTTCGTATTCTCGGAAAAATCTTCTGGCCGTGTTCCCAT